GAACGGAGCGGATGAGGAAATTGACTGCGGTGGAGAGCAAAGTCACTGGTTTGGAGAAAATTGAGAGAGTTTGGTCTGAGGCTTTGGCGAGGGCGGCGGCCTTGGAGGACACCATCCGCGTACTCCAATCTGAACAGGAGTCGGAGAGAGCGACAGCTACCCTTAGGGAGGTGAGGCTTGAGGAGCACATTGGAACGATTGATTAGGAGACGTCAATTCTGGGAGATCGGGTGGCGGTCTTGGAGGTGGAAAATGCACGACTACAGGACCAGGTTGAGTCATCCTCTGCTGCCATTCCTCGCCAAATGCAGGAGCTCTGGGTTTATGCTAAAGCCCAGCGGGACACATATAAGAGTTTGTGGGAAGCGGACACCGTGGCTGAGGCTGCTTACGAAGAGGCGCGGGCGACGGCTCGTGAGGCTCTCATCAACATTGGATACTACACGGCGACGCCCGAAGCCAATAGGGATGTGGATGATGATAACAGTGAACCTTGTTGAGATAGTGATGATAGTGGTGATGATGACGGCGGTGATGACGCCGAATGAAAAATGTTGTCCTTTGTTTTTATTTTTTATTTCGTTTGTTGATTGTCTTCTATTCGTTCCTTCTTTTTTTTATTGGTTGGTCTGGGCCGTATGTAAGCGGTAATAGCCCGCGTTGTGACATTGCATAAATAAAAGTTCTTTTCTTCGATATTTCCCTCGTACTTCACTTTTTATTCCAATTGTTCATGGCTTTGGTGCAAGATAGAGGCTCGCCCGACGAGTCCCGATTTTTCTTTCTTCCAGTGGTTGTCAACCATTAACGATGTTGCTTCGAATTTATCGAAATGTCGGCCTGTGGCCGTTCGATGGAGGCTAAAACCTCTTTTTTTTTATGAAGTCCCTTTGCCTTAAAGGGTGTTATTTCGAACTTATCAAAATAACAGCCCATCGTCGTTCGAGCAAGGCCGAACCTTTCTTTTGTTTAATGGCGAAGGCTCTTGGCCTTAAAGGGAGTTATTTCGAACTTATCGAAATAACAGCCCGTCGACGTTCGAGCACGGTCTAACCTTTCTTCTATTTGATGGCGAAGGCCCTAGGCCTTAAAGGGTGTTATTTCAAACTTATCAAAATAACAGCTCGTCGTCGTTCGAGCGAGGTCAAACCTTTCTTTTATTTGATGGCGAAGGCCCTTGGCCTTAAAGGGTGTTATTTCAAACTTATCAAAATAACAGCTCGTCGTCGTTCGAGCGAGGTCAAACCTTTCTTTTATTTGATGGCGAAGGCCCTTGGCCTTAAAGGGTGTTATTTCGAACTTATCAAAATAATAGACCGTCGTTGTTCGAGCGAGGTCGAACCTCTCTTCTATTTGATGGCGAAGGCCCTTGGCATTAAAAGGTGTTATTTCGAACTTATCGAAATAACAGCCCGTCGTTGTTCGAGCGAGGTCGAACCTCTCTTTTATTTGACGGTGAAGGCCCTTGTCCTTAAAGGGTGTTATTTCGAACTTATCGAAATAACAGCCCGTCGTTGTTCGAGCGAGGTCGAACCTCTCTTTTATTTGACGGTGAAGGCCCTTGTCCTTAAAGGGTGTTATTTCGAACTTATCGAAATAACAGCCCGTCGTTGTTCGAGCGAGGTCGAACCTCTCTTCTATTTGATGGCAAAGGCCTTTGGCCTTAAAGGGTGTTATTTCGAACTTATCGAAATAACAGCCCGTCGTTGTTCGAGCGAGGTCGAACCTCTCTTCTATTTGATGGCAAAGGCCTTTGGCCTTAAAGGGTGTTATTTCGAACTTATCGAAATAACAACCCGTCGTTGTTCGGGCGAGGTTGAACCTCTCTTCTATTTGATGGCGAAGGCCCTTGGCCTTAAAGGGTGTTATTTCGAACTTATCGAAATAACAGCCCGTCGTTGTTCGAGCGAGGTCGAACCTCTCTTCTATTTGATGGCGAAGGCCCTTGGCCTTAAAGGGTGTTATTTCGAACTTATCGAAATAACAGCCCGTCGTTGTTCGAGCGAGGTCGAACCTCTCTTTTATTTGACGGTAAAGGCCCTTGGCCTTAAAGGGTGTTATTTCGAACTTATCGAAATGACAGCCTGTCGTTGTTCGAGCGAGGTCGAACCTCTCTTCTATTTGACGGTAAAGGCCCTTGGCCTTAAAGGGTGTTATTTCGAACTTATCGAAATGACAGCCTGTCGTTGTTCGAGCGAGGTCGAACCTCTCTTCTATTTGATGGCGAAGGCCCTTGGCCTTAAAGGGTGCTATTTTGAACTTATCGAAATGACAGCCCGTCGTTGTTCGAGCGAGGTCGAACCTCTGTTTTATTTGATGGCAAAGGCCCTTGGCCTTAAAGAGTGTATTTTGAACTTACCGAAATAACGGTCTGTCGTTGTTCGAGCGAGGTCGAACCTCTCTTTTATTTGATGGCGAAGGCCCTTGGCCTTAAAGGATGTTATTTCGAACTAATCGAAATAACAGCTCGTCGTCGTTCGAGCGAGGTCGAACCTTTCTTTTGTTTGATGGCAAAGGCCCTTGGCCTTAAAGGGTGTTATTTCGAACTTATCGAAATAACAACCCGTCGTTGTTCGAACGAGGTTGAACCTCTCTTTTATTCGTGGCGAAGACCCTTGGCCATAAAGGGTGTTATTTCAAACTTATCGAAATAACGACCCATCGTTATTCGAGCGAGGTCGAATCTCTCTTTTATTTGATGGCGAAGGCCCTTGGACTTAAAGGGTGTTATTTCGAACTTATCGAAATAATAACCCGTCGTCGTTCGAGCAAGGTCGAACCTTTCTTTTGTTTGATGGCGAAGGCCCTTGGCCTTAAAGGGTGTTATTTCGAACTTATCAAAATAACAGCCCGTCGTTGTTCGAGCGAGGTTGAACCTCTCTTTTATTCGATGGCGAAGGCCCTTGGCCTTAAAGGGTGTTATTTCGAACTTATCGAAATAACAGCTCGTCTTTGTTCCTAGTTTCTGGAGAGTTGGGCATCTTCCGTGGGAGTCCCAGATTGTTTGGTATTGCTTGCACCAGATGGTTCAACGCTGGTGAGCACGAGGCGTCAACATTTCACGCAAGCTCGCGCTGTGCGCACATTGTGGTTTTCTTGTCTGACTCCGGATGTTCAGATCGGAGATGCTGCCGGCAGGGAGAGTTTCGACTGCATCGAAGTAGTTTTTGCTCTTCAATCTAGATGTCTTTGCGTACGTTCGTCCACGCAGATCTTATGTGCTTGCCCTGACGAAGTGTGAGAGGTGAGGGTGAGATGTTCTTCACTCTCGTCCGGTGGTTTGGTGGAAGAGAGCAGGATTGTAGCACCGTTTGCCCAATTTAGGATATTTGCAGCTGATGGGGTGAGGAATTTCGGGTTTTGTAAATCCGCTCGGCTCTCCTTCCCTTAACGCGTTGTTCCCATGTCTTGCGTGAGTTAGATTCTCCCTTAGTATTTATTTCGATGAATGATTGTGTTCTTCAGCTTTGATCTGGGAAAAACTAGGAGTTTTCACTAGGAAATCCCCACAGAGGGCACCAAATTGTTTGACTCAAAAGATATTAAAATCTTTTTGAACAAATCAATCAAAGATGAAGGGGTAAATCCTAATCAAACTTAGTTAGTTCCAAATCAAAAGATTTAATAATGATGATTGCATAAGTGACGAAGGAAATATCGATAATCTTATTAAGATTTAATATCACTCGATAAGAAGAGAGAATTACAATTGTTTTTCTTCCTCTTAGGATATAGAAGTGGAGCTTTTCTTTAGATTTCCATTATGAGGGAATGCCGAAGCCCCTTATCGAAAGCCTTCCTTAGCTATATATAATCGAAATTAATGAGAAACTTTTATAACCACACAAATATCATGACCCCACAAAGCTTTTACCCCTTAAGTTTTTAAGACCACAAGTTTCAAATTTCAAAAGTTTTATTTTTTTCTTTAAACTTTGTACCAAGTCAAATTATTTCATCTAAATTGAACTACAAGTTATATGAACGTATTACCGAACCTGTGGAGGGTGATATGTCAATAAGGGTAAGAGACAACCTGCATATATCCCTTTACCCTCAATGTGACTTGACGCGTTTTGGTCAATGGTGCATTCTGGTTGTAGCTTTAGGCGTTGCTCTTTTCGATCTGTCGGGTACTTCGGAGGAGAAATGGAGTGGACTCTGTTGACTTTTACTACCCGATTGCTTTATTAAGAATATCTTGTTCTTTTCTATTAAGAATCTGGTGACATAGCATATTATTATGACTACATAGTTGAATCAATTCTTGTATGTGTTTTTGCTTTTGAATTTGAAAAAATTCTAACATATTTCCTTTCCACATTTTTACAAGTTTTTCAAAATCTTCCCTTATTTTGAAAAGATAAATATTTCATCTGTCTCACATTATGTGTTGTGTTTCTCTTTTACACGTCTCTTAAGAAATATTAATTAAGAAAAGAATTGGACTATTCTACTCATATTTATGTCTTAAGATATAATCTCTCTTTATTGAATATTTATTCTATTTATGTATTATCTCCATTTGATAGGAAGATGTTGAGGTCGAGTATTAGGGTTGTAGGTTAGGAGATAGACTAATCTTGCTTTAATTCGTACCTTTGTGAGACTAGTCTGGTAGGATTTTGTATAAGATAGCTAATGACAATATTGTGTCTTACTGTTTTACTTTCAATGCAAGACATATTTACTAGCTAACGCTTTTGCTTTGCATCTTTCTTCTGGATTTCATATTGTTTCAATTTTTCCTATGATTTCTGTAGTGATATTAATATTGTCTCCTTTTGTCTTTTTGTTTTCTTGAGCCGAAAGTCTTTCGGAACAACCTCTCTACTTCTTTGGGGCCCTCGGTATCCCTCCCTCCAAGAACTTCTCACCTTGCTCTTGGAAAAACTCGAACTCACAACCTCTTGATTAAAAATGGAGGTTGCTTGGCATCCCCTCGTGTCCATATATTCTCCATAAAACACTAGTAAAACCTCTTATAGTAAGGCTTGGACCTTGAAGTTAGCTGTTGCTGACAACTGCAATAAATTATAAACCCCATGTGAGTTTGCTCTTTTTTCCAACTGCCGCTCTTCCCCTGGGTCCCACTCCACCCCCTTTCTTCTTCTTTCTCTTTTTTTTCTTCCCAAAATCGAAACTCCACAAAGAATTGATTTTTGTTTTTGTTTTGGGCCAGTTCTAAATGGACCCGAAGTTCAGCGGAAAGCCTATACCCATCCCGTTTCTAGCGGGTCGGACCGACCTTGACCAGATGCCGGATACTCCGACCCGTATAGCACGTCATCGGCGGGCCCAATCGGAGACTTTCTTCCGGTTCCCGGACTTCGACGATGATATCCTCTTAGACGACGTCGTAGCCGACTTTAATCTGGATATTTCAGCGCCGTCGCTCTCCCCTTCTGCTGATACTCATATGCAACCGGCCAATTCTGCTGACTCGTCGTCGACCGGTGGACCGGCCTTAATGTCCGGACCGGGCGCTAATAATAACCCTAGACCATTGAATCATTTTCGGAGTTTATCAGTTGACGCCGACTTTTTTGATGGTTTGGAGTTTGGAGCGACTACGCCGGGAGCGGCGGAGGAGGAGGAGAAAAAGGTGTTCGGTTCAGGTTCGGGTTCGGTTTCTGGTTCGGGTACTCGACACAGGCATAGCAATTCGATGGATGGGTCATTTTCAACGGCGTCGTTTGAGGCGGAGTGTAGCAGCTCCGTTAAGAAAGCTATGGCTCCTGATCGCCTTGCTGAGTTGGCTTTGATTGATCCCAAGAGAGCCAAAAGGTTTGGACTTCTCTAATTTTTTGGTTTTTGTTTTTTATACATTTGTTGTGTGATGTTTTTTTTTTTTTACTTGGAATTATACTTAGCTCTAATGATTAGGATTTAGGAGGAAATGTCTCTTCAAATCATTTGGTTCTTTGAAAATTTCTTGAGAAAATGTAGGGAACTAGATGGTCGCTATATTTCTTGGTTTTGAAGTGATTTGCTGTTTCTTTGGAAGGCCAAAATTGTCTATTTTTAGTTGCAAAGAGCTTTTTTTTGGATGACGTAATAACCTTTTATTTATGAAGGGCATAATATACCAGAAGTATACCAAAAAGTAGAATCTGTGAGGCACTCAATCTTTTATACATATAAAGAGAAGAAAAGCAAAGGATAGGAGTTAAAGGAGGAGGTAGAATTATGATATTAGAAACTATATCCTTTTTTTGGTGAAATTGTATGTGATCAATATTCTCGAACTCAAATCAATGGAAGAGAAGAAATGCATATGATTTGAGAAAGAAGAAGTATGCTGGTGATCATTTGCAGCAATTCTCTATTGTGGAAAATGAAATAAGTTTCCACTAAATTATATGTGAATGGCCAGGATATTTAACAGCGGAAACAAGTAAACTTTATATATTCAAAAAAAGGAAGAAGGGATTGGAGGGAAGGAGGGGAGGACTATACTACTTAAAAGCAGTCTAGTAGAGGCTCCTAGCAGAAAAGCCACATTATTGAGTTAATGAAAAGATGCTATTGTACCATGTATGCTGATTTAGGATGAAAGAGAATGGTGTTCTACTATACTGTATATCTTTAGTGAAGTGGTGTTACCTGAATGGTAGGAGGCGAGGAAATTCAGAAACTACTGATGACATCTCATTATCAGCATAGCAATCTGAAAATTTCAGCACAAAAGGTTATTCTGTCATTTCTCTCTGTTACATAGCATCGTGTCCCAGCATTACTGTTTTGTCATTTGTATGTTTTCCATTTCCTAAAATACTAAGTCCCCTTGTGGCTTGTAGGTAAAGGTTCTAGCATTTAACTTAGTTTTAAGCTTTTGTATAAACTCATCTTTGATTCTGCATTATTACAGGATTCTTGCAAACAGACAATCTGCTGCACGTTCAAAGGAGCGAAAAATTCGTTACACTAGTGAACTGGAGAGGAAGGTACAGACTCTGCAGACTGAAGCTACTACTCTATCTGCCCAAATCACGGTCCTGCAGGTATGAAATAGACAAATAATTTATGCAATACTGTTCATGGTTATCAAATTTTGCTGTATAAAGTGACCTGAAAATTTCAATAGCTTCTCATGTTTGCATACGTTGAACAAAGAGCTTATGCAATATGATCAAGGTAAAGAACTCCAAAAAGTTTTGAAAGAACAGTGCAATCAATAACAAAGTATCTGGGAAAGAAATGTTGGCGTATAATAAAAAGCTCAATGCAACCTGGATGGTTATTACCAAGTCNTTCTTCCCATTATTTATTTGTTTTGGATTTCTTTTTGACTGAATGAGTATTATGTTAATATTCCTGTCCTTTTTTGCAAGTGATGTAGAATGCTTAGGGCTAATAATGGGAACGGAGAACCGGAGAACAGTGATATGGTGCCGGTGATTGGGAACAGGGTCGGGTAGCCATGGGAAAGGGAGTACTACAGCTAAGAAAGAGAGGGCATTGGAGAAGTGGGAGTGCTAGTGTCATATGCGGAGGGTGCTGTTGCTGGCAATGGAGGATGGAGGGAGGGAGCTAGTGGTTGGGAGGGGACTATTGGGGAAAGGTGAGATAGTGCGGTACTATGACAGTTAGAATGGTGTGGCATCGGGGGGCGGGGGGGAGGTGTGTGAGAATTAGCGAGATGGAGAAGAGGTGCTGCAGAAGGAATAGGTCCTTGTTGATTTTGCTTTTCTTTTTGTCCCCCCCACCCCAAAAAAAAAACACACACACAAAAGAAAAAAGGAACTTTAAAGATGAGCAATATCAACTGCGGACATGCTGGTTGACTAATTGGTCAGTCACGTATCTTTCAGCGAGACCAACTTTTTTTTTTTGGACAATTTAGAATATAACAAGTCAAAAGTAGGGTTGGTGGAATAATCTAGCTAAATCCTGATATTAAAAATAAGAGTAGGGTTACCAATTTAGTAAAGACCTCCAGATTGCCTATAATCTCTGCAAACAACTAACAATGAAACTGAAAAAGAAATATAAATAATACTGAAGTAATTTTTTTCTGTGAAGTAACACCATAGAGAGGAATTGCCATTGGAATAATATGAATTTAGGTTGTAAATTTAATTGATAGGATCAGAGTCTCTGCTAGTTGAACTTGTGAACTCAGAATGCAAAAGGAGAATTTTGGAAATTCCATGCCCTATCTATCCCTTATTTTTTTTTTAAAAAAAGGAGAACTTTGGTGCTAAAATGGCAGAATTCTAGATTCAACCTTTGGAACCGAAACTAGAGATTTTTTGGAAAACCAAGTAAGGCAAGTGAGCTCTAGCAAAGAACTTCAGATAATTTCGTCAAATAGATGGAGGGTTTGCAGTACTCATTTCAAGTATTTTTCTGATTGACGGTTTGTTATATATTATTTGTACCTGGGTTTCAGTTGTCTTTTGAGTATTATTTTTCTCAACTAGTTGTTTGAGTTTAAAATTGATAAGCTGGAATGAACTGCTGGAGCTAGAAATGCATCTGATATTGTACATTGCTTCAAAATTTCCCACTGTTAAAATCTGGAAATACTATATATCATATTCTTCAAGGTGTCCTTTCTCCTTTTTTTTTTAATCCTTACACGGATCTTCTATGTTTGTCATCACTGCATAAGATAGTTATTATGGACCAATTGCATCTATTACATGCATATATTAAATTTAATGATATGGAACAAGCTTTATTGGTCATGGTTTTTTAAGATGTAGGCTCCAAACTTTTGCTTTTCAATTACCCACTTCTGTGCCTGTAGATTTCACTTAGAGTTCCTAGTGTAATTTTGCAAGCCATTTCTCTAAACTGGTTCTGACTTCAAATTATTGTGGAAAACATAGTATTTCTTAGGATATAAGGAAAATTTTCAGTCAAATCTTTTCTTTTCCACCACTAGCTGGTCAGGTTATTAGGCTCTTAAAAGCTGTTGCACTTCTCTTTGGTGCTAAATAATGAACGTTGTTTATTGAGAATAGTCATCATAAATTAACAGGTTCTTAGTTATTAAGTACTTAGTATTTTGTTTTCTAGCATCATTACAATATCTGAGTATGGTATCCTGCTAGCTGCTCGCAATAAAATCCTGCTGGAATCTAATTCCATTGCTCTGGTTGGAAATTCATCTTCTTTTCACTCATCTCTTTGTCGTTGAGTATGGATCTGTCTACCACAACATCATGCATAAATAGTTGTGTGACACAGTCTCCAGTTTGTTGTACTGAAGGCGTACCGTTCTTGTTTTTCATGATTGCTCCTTCCCATTTTTCTTTTCTTTTTTGTAAAATTACTTTGGTTGACGGGTTGAGTGGTGCTTTTGAACTTCTTCTCCATGTCTTCATTTGGGCGGTAACATACAGTAGGCAATCCATTTATCCATAAGACCATGACACATATATGCTGTGTGTGCAAAATTGCAGTTTCAAGTTGTGCGCATTTCCTTAGACATGTATCAACTGTATTTCTGTGTTGCCGAATGGAATATTATCATTGCAAATTATGCTATCGCTAACACACTGTTGTCAGAAAACACAGTAACATTGCCTTGACCACTTTCATGCCATTTTTGTATGATGATGCAGAGAGACAATAGTGGATTGACTACTGAGAACAAAGAGCTCAAACTACGGTTGCAAGCTTTGGAACAACAAGCACATCTTAGAGATGGTATGCCTGTTTACTAGCTTGATGTGATTTTCACTGATTTATTTTATTGACATATGAGTGAATATTTTCCAGCTCTGAACGAGGCTTTGAGGGAAGAACTGCAGCGGCTTAAGATAGCAGCTGGCCAAATTCCAGGTGCCAATGGAAACAGGGGGCCACGTCCGCATTTCCCTCCCCCGCCACAGTCATTTGTCCAATGTGGTAGTCACCATGCGCAACAGCAGCAGCAGCACATGCCGCATTCTACCACAAGTACCCAGAATATCGGTGGGCAGACCCAATCTAGCTTCATGAACTTCAATAACAGGGGTTGAAAATGTCAAAAGGGAACATCATAAATAAGTAATTAGCATAGAGCTTTGTATATATTGATATGTAATGGATAGTGTTACAGGCTGTGAGTGCATGCTGCTCAGATCATTTGTACCATTATCAATACTAGTTACTTTAATGCTATAGGAGAAACTTGTTTCATAAACAGCAGCTAGATATTGTTCAACATCTTTTATGTGATGACTATCATAACTTATTATTTGTGAGGTCTCCAGTTGTTACCACTACAGTTTGATCTCAATTAAATAAACCTTGCCGGTGATTAAATTCTTCTGAATGACCTCAAATTCCTGACCATTGAGCTAGAAAACTGCTCTTGCAGGCATGATCTTCGATATGGAAATAAATTTGCAGTTTTTTCTTTTTATTTATTTTCCACAATTACAACTACTTACATGGATCCATAACCTTATTATTTAATGCCACCAACCACTCCTAACAGGACGACCTCGTATTAGTTGAGAAATAGATTATTAAATGCTTTCTATTGAGCTTGATCAGATTTGAGAGTATAACCCGAAGCCAAAGTTTTGATGGCTTACTAAGTAGGTCAGCTTTAGACTCTAGGCCTATTTATCATAACTTGTTTTGTCAATAGAATCTTACAGATTGAAACCCTTTCTTTTTCTGTCTAGTCTTGTTTGTGAGAGGAAAAATGGAGTATGTCAATGAAACAATGATCCAAAGTTGGAAGCATTGTTGGGCTGGTGCACACGCCAAAGTCAACTCAACCATCCCATAAAAGAAGTTTGACAACTTTAGCTTATCAAAGTAAATTAGTGGATGTATTCCTATTGATTTTACAATGAATCTATTTTGACATTATTACAGAAGAAGATGCCATATACTCATAGGCGGTAGCAATGATTTCCACGCCAGAATCCATTGTTGCATTGCTTCAAAAGATTAATTAATCAATCAAGTAGCTCTAATTAGACAAGAATGTTTACACCATCCAAGTTAAACTTGGCATAATTTCAACAGAAACACCATTGATTAGTGGTCTTCCTTAGATATAGCCTAATAGAAAAATCTAAGTATCAACCAATTCGAAGATCAATTAATCACTTCCATATGTCAAGCAGATGTGATTAGACAAGAATGTTGACACCAACTAAGTTAAACTTGACGTAATTCCAATAGGAAAAACAGCGAGATGGTTTCTCCTTGCAGAATATTTCAAAATTGAAGTGTCAACCAATTTATGCCTTAAAACTATTTCATTTATCTTGTCGAGTAAAATCTGAATCAAATTCAAGTTGGTCTTGAATTATCCTTTATCATCAGAAATGTTTATTGTTACATAGTTTGAGCATCCGGTCCTAATTAATCGATTATAAGTAAAGGAGTTTAAGTTATATGCACTAATAGTGTAAGAAATATTTACAAAGTAGTGTAAGAAATAATTAGACAGGTAAATCTTAATAATAAAACATTAATCGATAACCTGGTAAATATGACATTTAAACTACATTAATAGTTAAAAAATGTTTTCACTGTTAATAGTATATAACTGAAATCTTTGAGTAAAGTAGTTTTGATTCACTGTTAAGCATTTTATCTTTCGTATTTAATTCCATGTATTATCCCAACTTTCTACAAATTGTAAATGAAGATAAAGATTTTTTTCTCTCTTCATTTCCTTGAACTTACCTTTTTCTGTTAGTAGAATAATTTGACTCTCTTATTTTCTTGACATTAAACAAAGCCTAGCTAGAAGAAATTGTGACTCCACAAACTTTATTTTGCATTAGTATTAATAATTGTAGGAATTAGAAATTAATAGTAAATCCATTTGGACCCTTGTCTTAGAAACCATCTCATACCAATGGACACATAATATATTCAATAGGGTCAAGTTGTCTTATCCCAACAAGGAATCAGTTTATATTAAAGCTGTTAACACAACATTCTTGAGATCATCACAATATCACATATAAATTCATCATTGTTTGCAGCTTCAACACATTCAAGAATGGAACTAATCATGTTAATGGTGATTGTGGTAGTTTTGGTTTTACTAGTTTTAGCAGTCTTACTGAAAACAAGGGATTCTCCAAAAGAAATGGAAGCAATTCCAGGTACCCTGGGATGGCCTATTATTGGAGAGAGCTTGTCTTTCATATCTGAATTCTCAAGCCGTGCTGGTATATACAGCTTCATTAACAAGAGACAGAAACTGTAAGGCCAACATATGATCATTTTCGTATTATCTATCTAGCTCTCTAGAATTGTCATTTTCTCCAGGGAATCGTAATAATGTGCTACGTTTAGAAAGAACTCAATCACTTGCATTGTGGAAAGAATTTATAATCTTACTCGGGAAGGTGAAAGAAAATTCTTTAAATGCTCTATGTTATTGAAATACTCACTTTAATCCACTGACTGCAGGGGCGAAGCGGCCTTTTGCTAAGGGTGGTCACTTCGTCACTGCATATATTGAACACCCTTGGTCGGGAAATTTGTTTACTTCTTTCAAGTCTGAACACCTTTGGGAAATTTCTGGCTTCACCACTGACTGACTGTATCATGGTTTGGCGCGTGATTGAAATAATGATTGTAGCATGGTTTTGTTTATAGGTATGGGAAGGTGTTCAAGAGTTATGTATTGGGAAGGTACACTGTATTCATGGCTGGAAGAGAAGCAAGTAAAATCTTGTTGACAGGAAAAGATGGAATGGTGAGCTTAAACCTTTTCTACACAGGACAGCAAGTACTTGGACCTACTAGCTTGCTCCAACAGACGGGAGAGTCGCACAAGAGACTCCGAAAAGTAATTGCTGAACCACTTTCACTTGATGGACTTAAGAAGTATTTTCAATTTATCAACAGCTTAGCTATTGAAACATTGGATCAGTGGTCTGGAAGAAAAGTCTTGGTTCTTGAAGAAGCTTCCACAGTTAAGTCTTTTGATAATTTTATTATAGAGTTTGGTTTTTGATTTAGAGGCATTGTTTCAACCTGTTGGATTATGTTTTTCAGTTCACACTCAAGGTGATAGGCAATATGATAATGAGCTTAGATCCAACTGGTCAGGAACAAGAGAAATTTCGAACCAATTTCAAGATTATTTCTGCCTCTTTTTCTTCCTTACCCTTTAAGGTCCCGGGAACTGCATTTTATCGTGGCATTCAGGTAACAACATTTTTCAACAGTATATGCAGATTAGGATTGATGGACAAACTAATGAGATGACTATTTGTAAATTACAGGCTCGTGATCGAATGTATGCTCTGTTAGACTCGATAATTGACCAACGGAGAAGTGGGAAAAGCTTGAAACAAGATTTCTTGCAATCCCTGGTAAAGAAGCATGGCAAAGATGCATCAGAAGGAGATGATGATGATGATGATGATGATAAACTCACCGATAAACAACTGAAGGATAACATATTAACACTGCTAGTTGCAGGACATGATACTACAACTGCTGCTTTGACATGGCTCGTCAAATATATTCAAGAAAATCCTGTTGTATTGGAACGATTAAGGGTAACTCTTATTGAACCTAACACGGGGAAAAAGAGCAACCTTTAACTTTCTGAAATTAGATTATACTAACTTGAATCTTTTATTTGCAGGAGGAACATAGAGAAATTCAAGCTCGAAAACAAGGCACATTAGATCTTGCCTGGTCTGAAGTCAACAATATGCCTTACACCGCCAAAGTGAGCTGCATACTAGTCATAAATTCAGCTTCTTTTCATCCCTGAAATTCAAAAAATAAGTTTTCTTTTTGTTGATCTTTCAATGTTCAGGTAATAAGTGAAACTCTTAGAATGGCAACAATCCTGCCTTGGTTTTCAAGAAAAGCAGCAATGGATTTTGAAATTGATGGTAACTGTCAGCTTTCTCATACCTGGATTTTGTTACATTTCCTGCTATAATATACAGAGCTAAAATAAATCTTTTAACCATTCTCAGGATTCAAAATCAAGAAGGGATGGTCTCTTAACTTGGATGTAGTGTCTATCCACCGCGACCCCAAGATTTTTGTTAATCCTGAGAAGTTTGATCCTTCTAGATTTGATGTAAGTTTTCCAAAATAATAAGCAGGCTCCTTCTATTCAACCCCTGAGATTTTATAACAAAAGTAACTTGTTGGATTCTCTGCAGGGGCCTCTAAAACCTTTCAGCTTCCTTGGATTTGGAAGCGGACCACGAATGTGTCCTGGAATCAACCTCGCCAAACTGGAAATTTCTGTTTTCCTTCATCATCTTGTCTGCAGATACAAGTAAGAAAAACATACATAGGAAAGAACTAGAACCAAACAAGAAAAAGGAAAATAAAGAAAACCAGTCGGTCCTTTTGAAATTTTCTCTAGTTCCTGCTGATAAGCCGTGTTTCTAATTTGAAGAGTTTTCTCTGTTGCAGATGGACACCTTTAGACACAGACGATTCTGTTCAGCCAACACTTGTCAGGATGCCGAAGAACAAGTATCCCGTCATGGTTGAGACACTTTAGATAATGTCTTTCTTTTACATTGTATTAAAAAGAGGAAAAGACAGTATTTTCAGATTTATAGGAGAATGTAACAGCAGAAATAAGGAAAAGGTGCTAACTCCTGGTTCCAGTTGAACCAATTAGTAACCAAGAAGTTGGAATAGTTCCTAAAGATCCATTGTTAAATTGCAAGATAAGGTATGAAACTCTTTGATGATGATAAAAAAATGGTAATCTAACAAAGTGGTATATTTTAAAGCTCAAAGCAAGTACTTTGCTGATTTTGTTCTGCGTCCTCTTTCATGTTCTTCTTTTCTCGTCGAGAGGGGTGGCTGGTATATGGCAGGAGATTGTTACAATCAACCCTTGGTCCTCCTATTCTACCACTGAATGTGATACATTTAACTCAGATGCATAGCTCGAAAACTTACTGGACGTTAGAATTTCCTGGTCAAAGAGCCAAGAAAAAGTCTAAATGTGCATAGTAATTACTCTCTTATAGCCACCTGCTATCAAGAAAAGAAGATGACTGTAACTACAGAAAAAAAAGGAGAAGAAAATGGGAAAAAAATCGAATAGTATACATCCTTTCAACCTTAACCTGATGTTTCTGTATTAACTTCCATGATTTCTTTCCACGCACTTCCTGGATATTCCTCAGCCAAACAACATATAGGCGACAGTATAATAGTTTGCGGATTCAATGAGATTGAGAAATTGTAAAAAGAGAGTTTAGATTCTGTTTGCAACCGAAGAAATTGTACCTCCACAATAAAAATACTACTTCTAGAAGAAGCATTACATTTCTCACATATAGAGTTTCCATGACAATGAAAATACTACAATCATGATAATCCTTATTGTATTGTAGAACTAGAATCTAACACCACAATCTAAACAACCATTAACTTTATCCCCCATTGAGTTTAACGTTGTCATTGTCAGATTTCATAATCTGCCTGCACCTCGTACATATATTACCGCACCTTGCTCTAGGCACTATGCCCCTCTACTGCATAACTCTTCTAACGATGTCTAAAGATATCACGAATATACATGCAGTCCTCAACCTCTAAAGGGGATAAAAAACCAGAAACAGGAACAAAAACAAAAGAAAAAGCAAATGGTTATCTGCTATAGAAATTAACTTGATCAGTTGTTTCGTTCATTTTTTTTTTTGTGTGTGTGTGGGGNGGCAGAATGCTTACATCCAATAATATGATAGGAATTATTTTGCTTCAACAATATTGAAGTCATAACTGTTGACGTGATTTTTCTGCCAGTTCCATAACCGAACAAGACTAGTACACTACATCCAATCTTAAAAAATTTTGCACAAATGCTACCATAACTTTCTTCCGAGTCATCTGAATTCTCGTCAACATTTTTTCTCAATTTTGCTATGGCTAGGAGTTCCCCTTTTTCATATCAAAGGCAGCTGACTGAGAAAATGGAGAGCACAAAAGATTCACAAAGCTGCCACAAAATTTTGGAAAATCCTTCCTTATGATAACACATTTTTGCAGAAGCAAAAGGGCCACAACAATACACTTCTATGACTCCAAGTCACAATTCAAACATCACTTGTACAATGAATCTAAGGTTTCCTATAGAAACAACGAGAAACTAATAGCTTCTCTAATTCAAACATCAGTGCTACAATGGCTCTAATGTTTCCTACAGAAACAATGAGAAACCTATAGCATCTCTATCTAAGAATTACATCCTCTGTGCTGAGGGCAGCAACAGTTTCGACTCCCAATATCTGCAGCTAGACAAGGAGGGTTGACGTTTTCATCCTTGTACCAGATTGATCGTGCTTTAACTAACTCGTCCAAGAAGTCATCCAGCTTTTCGACTGTGACACTAGGCATTACGACAACATGTGACATATTTCTTTCACAAGCAAGTTGCCACTTGCGAACAAATTCCTCATCTTTAGGTCGCTCAAAAACAACTGTGCTGCTCAGTTCATTCAGCATACCACTGATTCCAGCTCCTATAAGGCGATCTTTTAAGTAATGAGCATTCCTTAGGCACTTCTGGACTTCTTTCTGGAATCCCTTGTACCCTTTTCTGTTCAGGGTGCACCAAAGGAAAAGTGGAGCATGCCCATTCCTACTTCCCATGATAGTGGCGTCCCTTGAAGCAAGGTACTCCACGTTCCTAGAAAGGGCATTAATGTGCTCCAACCTAGTCAGTTGAACACCGCATGGCATTGGACATCCCACAAACTTGTGACCAGAGACGCTCACACTACCAATTGGCTTTTTGAAAGTAACCTGCGGTGCCTGTACATATTCACAATATCACTTAAGAGGCAAACACTGAAACAATAGCATTACCTACAAAAAAAAATCTTCTTTTTGGTTTCTTCCTTTTCTAAGAATTTAAATTTTAAATTTATTGTTCCATAAAATGGTACGTAGGAGTAAAAAAAGATAATAATTAATTTTATGTTTCATAAAAGCGCTGTGGCGGTGGATGGTCTCTGCTTGCAGAATCTCTTTTTTGGTTTGAAGAAGTTACCACGTGACGCACGTTAATACTTGTCAAAAGAAAAAAGGAATATAAACACCACCAACAGGACTGTAGATCTGCATACAGAATCTATTTCATCTTTTTTTGTTTTTTACTGTGAAGAAGTATCCACATAAGGAACACCTACTGCCAACAGGACTGGAAAAAAGATACTTTTAGTCCTTCTAATCAGCAAAAGAAATGAATTCTGCTTCTCTTCATCTTTTCCCCCTTTAGTTCCAAAAGAAATGGTTACAGAGAACGAATTTGACTTTTAACCTTCTGCCTATTGCAAGTGGCAAAGGCAGCAACTTTTCACATTTTCAATTACACAAGAGTACCTCATAAACTCCTGATTCGCTAACAATAGCCAAGTATTTTCACATACACTTCACATAGGCTAGTTTAAGAAATGCAAGGAGAAGTTAAACAATTAAAACAGCCGGATAAACAAATTACTTACACGCTTGACAAATGGCATCATAAGACCAAAGAGAGCCCCGTCACAGTGGATATAAAACCGATCTTGTGAAAACCCACACTCTTCAAGGGTTTTTATGACAAGATCAAGATCATCGACGGCTCCTTTCACAGTAGTTCCTGCCAACCAAAAAAGATGGCACATTAGGAAGCTACGCAGTTGCTGCATTTAGGGAATATCTCAGACAGTGAAAGGGTAAGAGAGTACCGATGTTGACATTGAGGATTGCAGGTTTGTCCTTGTTTGCTAGTAGCTTAACTTTTAAGTCTGCACAATCTATTTCACCAGTTAGTAGAGTGTCAACCTTCACACATTCCATTCTATACATTCGTGCTGCTTTAAAAACAGAATAATGAGACTCCTTCGAAGCATACAAAATTCCTTCAGGAAATACTTCTCTCCTGCATTATTACGACAGTATTTTCCTTAGAATTAGAAAAAAGAGAGGAAAAAGGTGGGAGATCACCTCTTCACCAGTAACCTAATGCTTCCGCCTTCCAAAGGAAAAAATTTAAAATTATACTAACCCAACAAGGATTCCATGAAGATTTCCTTCAGTTCCACAGTTTGTGATGTATCCCCAATATTCATTCTTCTCTATTTCCCAGAGGCGTGCAAACCAGTCCAAAACCCCAACTTCAAACTGCCTTGAGTGCACACCATAGTTACTCTCAATGAATGGATCCCCCAAGTTATTGATGGAAAAATGCTGCAACTGTGTGAGTGCACCATAATCGAAGTCCAAATTATATGGATACCCTGCGAAAATCAGCAATCTGAGATAATAAGGCAAATATCTTTTTACACCTGGAATGCAATGAAAGTAGTCAAGGATGTTGTAAACTGGACTAGTCCACCCACCCACTGGGACATACTGTTGGCTAATTTCAATACTATATCTATATTCATTACCAAAAATAACATCGGTACGGTAGTTTGGAGGCAATAAATATATAAGGTTCTAACGAAGAAAAAGCACTTTTTAATGCTAAAAACAACCCGAAATCAAACTTTAATCAACAGCAAATAAGACAACACATATAGCTATTAAAAAGAAAGACAGAAGCCATTCTAAATTGTGTTTACCTCCCAAAAGGAGGAAAAACTATATCAAACTTAGGTGAAGATATAGATAAGACTATCAGAAACACCTTATATTAAATAACCACCCAATGATTTCATCCCCTCATGTTACATCAANTATTTAGCTATTCGTTACAACTTTCCAATGCAACAAACTGGACAGCTTAATTAGTCGAGGCCAAAAGCAATAGCCATAAGTTTGCCAATTTCAAACTCAGTATCTCAGAAAAGTGCTACTTTTAAGCCCGAAGAGTAAATTATCAAAATTCTAAACCAAAAAAAAATTGCCCAAAAAGGAAACATAATAGTAAGTCATAACATTCACATTGGAGCTATATCCCCTAGTCTCTCCCGTTTTAAGGGGGATTAACCAATAACAGATAGACAAAAGTTCGCGCTAGAGATACCATTCCTAATATATATGAAACCAATTTAGAAAGCTAAACTGGCCATAGTAGCAACATTTGTCAAAAAAAGAAATATCTAAAGCCAACCTAAGAAAATCTATAATTCCCTTTATGGACCAGTAAATCCAATGGACTGTCGTAGAATTTCAAACTCAAACCTATAAAGTCAAAATCTTGGATTCGCCTCTACAAAGAAATCAAAATCACGTGTCACAATTCAAAATTAAAATGAACACGATACCTAAATGGTACTTAGTTCGATCAGTAAGAGTCTTCCGATACCGAGCCAAAACACTAGCCATATAGGCTTCCTTATCACCGGTAGATTCATCATCAGCATCAGGTTCCGTAACAGCTAAGCACGTTGTATGTATGTTCCTCCCTAACACAATCTCCCTCTTCTGCTCCTCACCATCATTAACCGCGCCATCTACATCCTCCGATTTCACTACTGCCGGCACCGGCTCCGCCACAGCCGTCAGATCAAATTGACTGTCCGCTGCCACCTCTTTTCCGATCACAGCGGAGCTGACCGATTCGATTACTGCACTTGCTCCTACCATAGCTCTGTTCGAATCAACAATCACTGCTTCCATTTTAGTAAAATTTTATCAAATCGTCAATTTTTTTAATTGTATACAAAATTAGTTACAGATCAAATCAAATAAATTAGAAACTTTTAATACAGAAATTCACCGAAAATACATATGGATCTCAATTCTCTAACTGATTATTTTGCACCTTTAT